GCATATTTTTTATTTTTCTAGTTTAGTTGGTCAACAGTACCTGCTTTCTAAGTAGTAATCTACTACTCTAAATGGTTTGATTTAATAGCTTAATCCATAACTCATATCATAACACTTAAATGGATGTTATTGAAAATGTATTATTTAAATCTATATAAATTAAACTCCTTGAACTTAAGATTGCTTTTTTGACGAACTTAAGTAAAGTTTTATATGTCATTTCAAAATTACTTCTATTGTTTTTGAAATAGGGTTAAAGTGTAACTGCTAAATGTACTGAATGCATTTATGGTAAACTTAAATATACTTTAATGTCACTTCTATTGAAACATTCATCATGTATTTAAATAGCTGCAATTTAGTATATTTAAAATATATTAACTTTAAATGTAATATTGAATAAAACACTACAGTTAAAATTATAATCCTGTGGTTTAGTATGTTAATCAAGACATCAAAATACTTCTTTAACCCACAACAAAAGATTATTAAAACATAATGATTTAAAATGTAAATGTAAAACTTTTAATTGGAAACTATAACAAAGTGCAATTTTGAAAAGTGCGAGTGTTGCAAAACTCATTAAAGTGGACTTTTATTTAATTTATATTATCTGCAAGTCCAGTTTTAAAAAAATATATACTTTTAAGATTCAAAATACCAACAAGTGCATAAAGTTAATAAAATAATAAAAGTTAATCAAATTAGATAATAGATATAATATATATCATATATTAGATAATAAAATTAACTTTTTCACAAGAAATGGATTTCTAAGGATTTAGGCAGACCTAAGGATCTTCTGAGGATCTACAGCAAGATCTAAAGCAAGAAACCAAGGAAATACAGACAAATACAGTAAAATCGAACATACTCAGCCATTTGGAAAGTAGCGTAAGTGCAGGTTGGTCCCAGCAAAGCACATCCCTCCTCCCCTGCATTCTAGAAAGAAATCACAATGATCAGTGTGAAGACACTTTATATAGTTTCTATAAAGTATGTCAAAGGAATTAAGAAGACCAGAACTGACCGCAAGATCATTTAAAATTTCAACCCCCTCACAGGTGCTACTGGCGCAGCCTTTTTTCAAGTAGTAAATGGTTTTAAACCCTCTGAATTTTACCTCTAATTGGGGATTCACCTCTAGAAAAAAAGGTGGAAAAAGAAAGAAATTAGATTAAAACTATAATACCAATTTAGAATTAACATGATTATTTCAAACTGAACTACATTTCATATTTAAACAATAGTAGTTGTCATAAAATTTTATGTTTCTTTTGTTTAACATAATTAGGCTATGACTTTGCAAGACTGTAATTTATGGCAAGCCATTTTAGCTTAAAATATTCCCAGTCTTACTCGTTGTAATCGCATTTTTACTATACAATTCAATTAAAAAGCTTTACAATTAAATTCTTAGTAACAATTCCAATTAGAGAGCTCTCTAATTAAATGTTTTACTAGTAACAATTCTGATTAGAGAGCTCTCTAATTTAATTCTTACTAGTAAAAATGCAATTACAGAGCTCTATAATTCATTTTTATACTAGTAAAAAACCACATTAAAGATATGTTTAATTGCAGAGCTCTGTAATTGAATTAAAGAGATCTCTAATTCAGTCATTACAGTAACAATTGAATTAGAGAGCTCTCTGATTTGAATTATTACTAGTAAAAATGTATTTAGAGAGCTCTCGAAATGTAATTATTACTAGTAAAAATTCTGTTGTAGACCTCTGTAATTAAAAATGAATGGAAGTCAATGGAGACATATGACTAGTAAAAATTCATTTGTAGAGCTCTTTAATTGGATTTGTTACTAGTAAGAATTTAATTAGAGAGCTCTGTAATTGGCTTTGTTACTAGTAAGAATTTAATTGTAGAGCTCTCTAATTGAATTGTTACTAGTAAAAATGCAATTACGACGAGTAACTCTGGGACTATTTTAAGATAAAATGACTTGCCATATGTCTCCATTGGCTTTTTAATTTGCTCTACAACTGAATTTTTACTAGTAAGAATTACTATTTAATTCGTACTAGTAACTATTCCAATTAGAGAGCTCTCTAAGTCAATTTTACTAGTAATAATTCCAAGTAGAGAGCTCTCTAATTAAATTTTTACTAGTAACAATTCTGATTAGAGGGCTAATCTGCAATTACAGAGCTCTGTAATTAAATTTTTACTAGTAAAATACCATTAGATAAATGTTTAATTGCAGAGCTCTGTAACTGAATTAAAGAGCTCTCTAATTCAGTTCTTACTAGTAAGAATTGATATTGTAGAGCTCTCTAATTGAATGCAATTTCAGAGCTCTCTAATTCGGTTAGAGAGTTCACTAATTCAATTGTTACTAGTACAAATTGCATTAAAATTTGAATTAGAGAGCTCTCTAATTCAATTAGGGAGCTCTATAATTCAACTGTTACTATAGAAACAATTGAATTAGAGAGCTCTCTAATGATAATTTTTACTAGTAAGAGCTGAATTGTAGAGCTCTCTAATTCAGTTTTTACTAGTAAGAATGCAATTGCAGAGCTCTAATTGTAATTGTATTTTAAGCTAAAAAGGCTTGCCATAGTAATTTAAATAGTCTCTCTTCATATTTTGCCAAGTTAGGATCATACTTTACCATCTTCAGAGATCTCAGAATCATTTCCAACAGCTCTCAGCACCACCGGCTTTACAAAATTGATACTCCAGGGCGACACATCGTCATCCAATAAAATAACATTCATCAGAAGTGTTCCATTGAAGCAAGACTCTTTCATAAAGTGACTTTTCTTTAGTAGTGTCCATGATAGACATGCAAATAACCAAATATGGTAATCCATATTCAAATGTTAAGAAGGCGAAACGACAAAAAATAAAGTCTCTCGGCCTTTGAGGTCAGCAAAATATTTACTTCGAATTGATTTTCATTGAAACGTGTTTGTAGTTGTTCAGCTATTTTCTGAGTTAAATCCAGCAGACTTCATCATTTATATTCCAAGAATGGAAAATGTAGAAGAAAAACAATAAAGACTTTTATCCAATCTAGCCTTTTGTCCTAGACAGGCTCGCTTTCACACTGATCACTCTGCTCTCACTTGAGTGTGTTAATGAACAACATAGTCAGTAGTCGTGTCTCAAAACCTAGTGTGCTGCCTACATAGACAGCATTTATGGGCACATTTCCAGCCAGACAGCTTTTTTTTTTGCTGTCTATATAGCTAGTTCACTATGCTAGCTCACACAGTGACTGTCAGTAAGAGTGAAAGTTTAGGCCTCATTAATGCTCTCATAGAGAAGCTTTTATATACATATATTAATCTATCTGTAAGTAATCAAATTTTGTCAAAGCAACTGAAGCAGAAGCTCTAAGGGTCTATTGAACACTATTGTGCAGAGGACGGTGAGAAGGAGTGAAGGACAAAGGTTGAGTCATAAAACCATTGTCCCGTGATAAATGGATGCATCATAAAAGCAATCAGAATGAAGCACCAGTGTTTGTTTTCCCAGCTGAGAGCAGGAAAATACTTAAATTACTCTCTGATGCATGTTATGATTTGTTGTGCTTAAGTTTATTATTTGCATGTTTTATATATTGAATATATTATATACAATATATTATTTAAATGCAATTTTAAGGTTTAATTTATGCCCGGGATTGTGTATTTGTTGGTGTTTTAGAATATACTAAAATGTGTGTTGGCTTTCTACTTAAGGACAGCTAAAAACGCTGAATAAAAATAAATCAATAAATCAATAAAAATAAAAAAGCACACTTCATTATAACCTTTATCTTTTTTCTTGTTAAATGTTCTTGAATGTGCCACACTCATTGTTTTGTGCTTATACACGTTCCTTTCCAACACGTTTATGTACCTGGTGCTTCCCCTCAATAATGATTTATCATATCAAACAATATCATATATTTATGGTTCCGTTTCATTTACGACTTCTGAGAAAAATCTGTGAAGTAAATCTTTTTGTAATCTGGGCCATGAGACGTCAGCAAACATCATAAGTCATAGCCTATCAATCTATCTTTTTTTTTTTAACTGGTCGTTCTCTTCTAGCAAACATGCACATAAATAAATGTGTGATTGTATAAGGTGATAAAGAAAAGTAGCTGTTTCTTTGTAGAAGAATTATTATAGAATTGCCCCATAACTAGTTGCTGGTTTATGAGCTAAGGGTGCAATATAAAATGTATTATAAAAGTGTAAAATGGGTAAATAAAAATGTATTATCCTTTTGTAGGCCTACTGTAGTTTTTTGAATTGCTTTCAATATCTAGTTTTTATGAAGTACTGCTCCCTCTAATGGTCATAACACATGCAGCTCGCTTCCTTTCCACCAATAGATGCCACTACAGTACATCTTAACACATCTACACTCTTAAAAATAAAGGTGCTTCACGATGCCATAGAAGAACCTTTTTTTTCTAAATGGTTCCATAAAGAACCTTTAACATCTGAAGAACCTTTCTGTTTCACAAAGGTTCTTTGTGGCGAAAGAAGGTTCTTCAGATTATAAAAAGGTAAGAAAGAGATGGTTCTTTAAAGAACCTTTGACTGAATGGTTCTTTGTGGAACCAAAAATGGTTCTTCTATGGCATCGCTTGAAGAACCTTTTGAAGCACCTTTATTTTTAAGTGTGTATGCTTTGACATTTTAAGTTTTTGACACTGGATAATACTGTATAATATGTGTATTTCTTTTTCTATGTTATGTATATTTCATATATATTTATATTTGTTGTTATACATATAATAATTAAAATTAATTCAATATATCATATTTATTTTAATTCCTGATTACGCATTTACTTTGGCAGTCTCCATATTTTCACAGTTGCATTTTATCTTTATAAGCACTTCATTTACATAACCTGTATGGAATTTTAAAATGTTTTTAAAAATCTGAAAACCTGAAAGTAGAATAAAGTCATAACTTAAATTTTGATATAAGAAAAAACACTGCATCATGTTCTTTCAGTTTTATTAGAATTATCATAAGAAGCATTGTTCTTGACAAAATGAACTACTGGGATTTGTAGCTTTCTTACAGAAAACTAGTATCAGTCCTATCAATCACAATTAAAGAAATGGAAGTTTACATTGATGTGAATTAATTTATTTTAGGAAATCGGTTTTACATAAATGACTTGACCATACACATCACAATGAACTCAAATGTCTATGTACATAAAGTGAAAATAAATACATAATTAATTACATATAAAGGACAAAATTTCAAACAAGGGAAACACTGCTGCTTTTTGTTTCACAGTTATGTTATGTTCTGCCAATGCTATATTAAAGCTCAGCTGACTTGCATCTCAAAACATGTTCCAACCAGACTTCTCACCAACTTCCTGTTGCTTATTTGCCAGACCGGATAAAACAACAGTTGCATAACCCTAATTGCTATTCCATCCCTATCCTACTAACACACAACACCATTTTACACCAACATGAGCACCTCAAGTTAAACCCCTTCCTTTATCCCTCCCTCTCTGCATTTATTCTTCTGTTGGGCTCTGAATGTGTGAGCTAGGAGCTGATAACTTGCCCAGACCAGGTCTCATGCATCCTTCCAGAAGACAGGTTGGTGATGACCACATCAACGGCTTGGAACTTTATGTTCTTGGGAGGAACAGGACACACTTTGTAGGTCACCTCATCCCCCTCCATTGGCACATATTCCCCCTCAATACTACAAAGAAAGAGTATAATAATATAATATAATATAAAACATAATAAAAATTCTCTATATAATATTTTTAAAACAATTTTTATATTTTTACACTTACTCTGAGATGTGAACAAACATGTCTTCTCCTCCATGGGAGGGACGAATGAAACCATGACCTTGTGACCTTGAGAAGTTCTTGCAAATGCCTTTGAAGACAGGTCCAGACTTGGCTCTTACGGATCTGACAAAATACCAGAGTAAAGAGGCTCTAGATCAACTTATAACACTTCTTTTTGGTAATAAGAAGCGCAAAACATCTCTTTATGTTTCATTGAAATTAACACAACAATACATGGTTCATCGTTTCTAATTAAGATTGACCAATATTTTTTACCAATGCATCTATTGTCTATGCCATTTTACAATAAAATAACAATTATTTTTATTATATTTATATATTTCAGCATCCATTAGTTAATATGCATATTTTAAACATTATGCATATTTACTATATATCTATATAGGGCATTCCTGTAGCCATACCAGTACAATAGCTCATGGTTCTCAACCAATCAGATTTAAGAACCAGAATGAACTGTTGTATAAATAAATAAATATATATATATATATATATATATATATAGTAGTCAACATTTGAAGTGGATCAAAAAAGTTAATTAAAGTTGTTCTAAGACAAGAACACATTTTTGGTTTTAGGACAACTAAGAATGAAAGGTTTTGATCCACTTCAAATGTTGACTAGTGTGTGCGTGTATATATATATATATATAAAATCAGTATAATAACTTTCAGTCTTGGACACAAATGACTCTTTTTGTTTATGTTTCATTATTTATTCATTTTATTTTTATTTATTTGCTCTGATATGTCTTAAATTGCTATGTCTTTTTCACTCTCTTTGGCACGTATTGGTATCTCCAATACTGAAGAACAAAGCAGAAAATTGTATCAATATCAATATCTGGAAGAAAAAACGCATCAGCTACTGTAAAGTCAGACAAAATATTAAAAATAAGTCCAAATTCTTGTATCACATTTACACGCATGTACTCACGCTGAATAGGTGCGTGTGCGTTTGGTTGGCAGTGGACTAGGAGGTTCCCCTGTTTGGGGCGGTTTCCTCTCCAAGACATTACTGCCCTCTCTCAGGAAAGGCAATGAAAGTGAGACAGGTGTATGTGGGCAGTGCAGCTTTCGATGAGATGTAGACGTGCTGTCTGAATCAGCCATTGGTGTGAACTTCACTGGAGATGAGATGAGGCCTCTGTGGTTTGAAAAAATGGTTTTGAAAAACCCAAACAAACAAAAACATTTGAATTATATTTGATATGAAACATTAAAAAGTTGCCTTGAAATATCCACCCTGCCTGACTTGATCTGCTTTTACTGAGGAGACGCTTTTTGTGTTGTGTTGATCTCTCTGCACTCAAATCTGGATGCAGCAGCTGCATCAGGACCACATCCGAGCTTCTTACTAGAGGCGCCTGTTTTTCCCTCTCATTGTTTTCCAATGCGCCAAGGGTTTCTTCCCTGTAGTCTAAGAAAGCCTTATCGACAGTGACTGTGTTTAAACGGTGAGTACGTGTGTTTTATTATCATATTATCAACCTGCGCTCCACAATGATGGTTGTTGACAAGCGTAGTCCACAGTATGCGACACCATTACAGTAAATCAACGGTAATATATACGGACAGGAAAATATAATAGGACAACGATGGAATTCTTACCGTAATGTCTGCCGGTTGATATCTCTTGCGCTGCGGATACAAATATTTCTACATAGCTACATTAGAATGCAGTATTAAATGCTTGAGTACTATCATTCGTGGCCCACATATTCAATTCAAGGGACCCCTACGTAGCACACAATAAATGAGGTTACCGGAGGAGAGGGAGGGACACCCCATCAAAATTGAACGCGAGAGACGCGGCGCGACGCGAGAAAACAAAAACGCTCCAATTATAATCAACGACACTACACTGCTGCAAGCGACAGAACCCTGACGTCAGTCTACAGTCGACCAATCAGAGCGCCCATAATGTAATCCAGGCGAGTTCAAGCATAGACGTATAATATACTTTGTCTAGGAGTTCAAGGTTTTGACGCGACGCAGTGTAGATGCGGTGCTTGTTATTCATGCTTAAAATACTGTAATAGAGAAGAATTTAACTGCATATAATAAGTACGTAACTACATATTGTGCACCTCAGGGGATTTCAAACTGGGGTCAGGTGACCACCAGGCGTCCCCAAGGGAGAGGGTGTAAACAATATACAAAAATAAACAATAAATAATTAAACTAAATAAAAATGATTTAAATAACTCAAACAGTTCAGTACTATAGGGAGTAGAAAACAGTCTAAAATAATACAAGCTAAATATTTTCCAAATAATATTTGACACATTTCTAATATTTTTTTCACAGTATACATTTAATCTTTATACACACACAAAGAGACTTATTTAAAATGACTTTTATTTTATAATCCACTGTGAACAATCAGCATTCATTTCCTCAATAACGGGAAAAAAGAATGAAAATAATGGGAGTTATAATCAAGAGGATGTGTTTGTGGGGTGTTGCAAGCAGCACGAAAACCATTATTCCTTTCACAGAGCTAAAAATACATCCAAGGCTGTATTTTATTTATTTTTTACATTTACTGCACTGGCTAGAATTCATATAACAGTAAAAGTTCATCTGATGAGGATGAATGTGTCGAGTCAGACAAAGCTAGTCATTTACCTCTCGGTATCTTGAGAGCAGCTGCTATAGTGAGCTGATCAGGGGGATTGATGTCATTGCTTTGACATGGGTATGGCTCGGTTTGAAAGGGGGAAAAATACAACCCTACAAAAAAGGGCACTCAAATATACAGGAAAAGTGCTCAAGAGATTGGAGGTCTGATTACTGATCCATTACTCAATAACGCATCCAAAACACTTAAGATAATGCACATTGGAGATTCTTTGCACATGTTTATAAATAAGCATTCCGTTTAAAACGTTTATAAACTTGACCTGTGGTGCACTCAGTACCAGACACTTTTGATAGTGGTGGTGTGATGTCAAGATCTGCCAGGGTCTTGAAGAACAGGCATAGACATGTCACTCTGACTCACAGTAAGAATAGCTACATGAACAATAACTGATCAAGTTTCAAGCTTGCGTGAATAAGAACAATTATTATGAATGGTTGATCATCTCTGCTAACAGAATCATGTGAAGTAAAAGAATCCATTAATAAAGCTGATTACAGGACAGAAAATTCACAAGCAGCTCTCATTACAGTTCAGTGTCATATTACAAACAGCAGAAATTAATAATCAGCAGTTGCCTGAACACAGATATTTGGATGATTTTATGAATTAAAACTCCCACTAACAAGCATGCGCCTACCATTTTTTGTAGGCTAACTTTTTGTTTTTTTTTATGAACCATTCTGTAATACACACTGACCCAGCTTGTAATTTATAAGCATTACAGTTGCAAAACATAATACCTTTTATCTGCTCTGCAATGTATTATATAGCTTTGAACAGTATTGACATGACTCGTCTATGCAACACAGTTTTAAAATGTATTTTATGTATTGTGTATAATTCAGTTCATAATTACATGAGTATTTAAACCTTTCATACACATACCATATCCTCCTGTTTGAAGCATAACCCCTTCCTCTCCCAAATATGTATATTTTTAGCCAATCACGCACATTTCTGCAGCTCCTTCATTCTGTTGAGGGCGGAGCCAGCCTGGAACCACTCAATCTGGGTTTCGTTGAAGGTGTGGTTCAACTCAATGGTTTCTGAGCTCCCATCACTGTGCTTGATGACGGCCTTTAGGGGCTAACGGAACAATAAAATTAAATTATAATGGAAATTACCGGAAATATTAGGAAAGGTAATTACCAAGCAAACATCTTTAAAGGGGTTCTATTATGTTTTTTCACTTTTTGAATTTTAGTCTGTGTAGTGTGTATGTTTGGGCATAAAAAAAAAAAGATCTTCAAACTTACAAATCTCAAAGTCCACTCCAAAGGGAGATATTTTGTTTTAAAAAAAAATCAAATTTCAAGAACTACAACAGACGGCTCGTTTGGACTACAGCGTTTGTTTTCCGAGTTTTGTGATATCACAAAGCGGTCCATTAGAATATCATTAAAATAATTCCCGCCTGCGGAAATTCGAATGGTGGTCATGGTTAGAGCGCTTGGTTGAGTGCATCAGAAAAGACGACGAGGAAGAAGAAGTGCTGCTATAGAGTCAAGTTTTCGCAAGTTATTACACATGCACCTGAATAATTATGTATGTAAATATGTATGTTACAATTGCTGACAGTACAATACTGGACAATAATGTAATCTGCAGAATTTACACTTCAATTATGAGACTACAGAGTGTTTCCCATACACTGAGTGCGGGTGTTTTTATAGCACTGTATTTCTGAAGGAAACTGGCTGTCTTCAGAAAATTGGATGTCATTTTCATTTAATCTTGCATGCAATGTCTGATAAAGCAGTGTTTTTTTGAGCGGAGCGCTGCTTTGTGTACAGCCTTTACCAGGGAAACCTTGATCTCCACCACTCAGCGCTTCCTGCTGGCAGAGAATGAGTTTGCATATATATGCCACCTGGGAAACACTGGACTATGGTATAAATAAATTCACCTGTATAACAGTTTCACTGCAATTCATGTTATAATTAAATAACAATAAAAATAATACATATGCACTTATCTGTACATAGTAAATGCAGTTATTTTTAAGCGGTTGTTGACATCCTAAAACGTGATTTAGCCCAAAAAACAAAAAAACAAAACCAACAATAACGTTACTCTAATATGTCTTGCAATATCTGTGCATGCAAAGGTTCTGTGCGATCCTCTTGTTCAATATTCTCTGGGTCTGAATCCGGCTCAAATTGATATGGCAATATTGACGCCATCCTTAACTAAACCGGAGCAGATGGAACTTGCTGCTTTGGCAAGGGACGGGGCAGTACTGAAACACCGTCTAAGCTGTTCGCCAATCACAACGCACTGGGACAGCTAAACAATCACATCACATTTAGTTTTTCGGAAGGCGGACATTCATCAAACCCGGAACTAATCAAGCCGTTTGTGCCAGGCTGGGGAGAAAGGTATTTTAATAATGTAAATTATGTGAAAAATAATGCGTTTTTCGAACCACCAAGCATGAGAGCATGTTCTAGTACACCCCCAAAACAAATTCAAGACTTTGTAAAAGAGCATAATAGGACCCCTTTAAGTAAGTGTTCTTTTATTACTTTAATTTTTTAAGTAATTGAATTAGTTTACTTTCATGTCATGTGACCATTAACAAACATAAACTCATGACCATGAACGTGTGAAAAATTAATTTCTAAGGCCTCTAAAATATCAATATTATCAAAACTTTGAAAAATCTCTAGTACACGGTCAATCAGACAACAGGGGGCATATATAGTTTATACTAGTTTAGCAAGTAAAAGGCCTTTTAGAATAATTTTGAAAAATGTCCACATTTAGATCAAAGTATTTTTTGCTGTGAAATCAGGTTTTTGAGAAGCATTTATTTGCACATCTCATTGTATTTCACTGCATTATGTTTCGCCCCATAATGAAAAAATACAGACATAAAACTCGCTATTTAATTATCACCTTACTAAGCCATATTATTAAGAAATTCAAAGTGATAACTGATATTTTTATGCATATTATGCAAGTAGTCTGTTATATTGATAATTGATATACACTACAAGCCATCAGAATTTCATCTTACTTTTTGGTTATATAAATATCAGCAACTGCACCAAATTGCATATTTTTGCTCAGGTTGGGCCTCTGAATAACAATCAACCTTTTTAAGATTTTGTATAAAGGTTCAATAAACTATTCCACAGAAAAAAAAAAAATAGATAATTAGATTTTTTTTTCTGAATATTATTTAATATGTCAGACTTTACAGAGTTAAAGTAAATATTTTAGGTCAAAAGGGGTTTGGCTGACAAAAAAAAAAGTTTGGGAATCCCTGACTAACACAAACCAGGAAAGAGGTATATCAACTAGAATCATGAATTAACAGAATCATTCTTACCTTTCCAGGGGCAAGGCTCTTCAGCCCTACAATGGAGATTTTATCATCTGGGCAGATTTTGTCGTAATCAGCAGGGTTGGAGAAGGTGAGGGGCAGCAGGCCCTGTTTCTTCAAGTTAGTTTCTGTTGACAGACCAGACAGAAGAATTCAAATCAATTGCTAAATGATGCTTAGCTTTAAGGGGGAGGAATATTTCACACTCACCATGGATTCTAGCAAAGCTCTTCACAATAATGGCCCTCCCTCCTAAATGTCTGGGCTCCAGAGCAGCGTGCTCTCTGCTGGAACCCTCACCATAGTTTTCATCTCCCACAACTACCCATGAAACATTGTGCTTCTGCAAGTGGGATATTACAGGACATTCAGAAACCGTTAAGAATATAAATGCTTACAGTAGGCAGAACAAATCATGATACGGTAGAGCTGCACGATTAACCGAATGCGATTATTAGCGCATCTTGTCAGTAAAGCCGGTTCTGTAATCAGTAGTAAATCTCCATCCCACGCTTTCAGATGGAGCATCATTTTCTACACAGAGCTTCTCCGTGAACTACGGCTCTGTGTAGTAAATGCTGCTCCATCTGAAAGCACGTGAAAATACCACATTTAATAACAT